TGGATAGCATATTTGGGAGAATCACGTGTCTGTCCTCTTTCACTTGCTGAAAGCGTCACACTCAGGGAAAGAATGGTTTACGTGTCTCTAATCCCTCCCCTGCCGTCACCCCTGTAGCCCCCGGGATCTGGGTTTGGGGGCACATTGAAGCCCCAGAGTTGGCGAGTACTGGCGCCTCCGCACGGTCCCCTGGGCAGGCAGCCCTAGAAGCAGGGCTGTAGGAGCTGAAGGGACACCAGGCAAAGGGGCGGCACCCCAGTCAGAGGAAGGGCCCCACGTGCATGCTCTGGATCGGGGCTGGGGGCGCAGGAGGCTGAGACTCCGGGGAAGAGCGGGGGTCAGGGTGCCGGGCGGGGCTGCAGATGGGCAGGTCCTCTAGGGCCGGGCTTGGTCAGGAGACCCCCGTGATGGACGAGAGGGTCACAGGCTAAGAATAACCTTTCCGCCTGCGGCCGATGGTCTCGCCCTGGCAGGTTGAACAGCATCCTTGTGCTGTGCTGTGTCCCAGGGACTCTGGGGGTGCACTCACTCCTCTGCCAAACTTCTTCCTTCCCAGCTGCTTTTGGTCTGCTTTTGTTTTTATCTCTACCTCTGACTTCTCCTTCTTTAACTTTAGTTTTGAGAGACAGAGAGAGACACAGTGTGAGCAGGGGAGGGGCAGAGAGAAAGGGAGACACAGAATCTGAAGCAGCTCCAGGCTCCGAGCTGGCAGCACAGAGCCCAACGGGAGGCTCAAACCCACAACTTCGAGATCATGACCTGAGCCTACGTCAGATGCTTATAGACTGAGCCACCCAGGCGGCCCTCCTTCTTTAACTCCTTTCCAGACTCTTCCTCTCCCTGGCTCCAAGTGCTTACTCCTGGGTTCTTCTCAAGTTTGGTTTGGTTTCCAGGATCAGTCCTTTTCTCTCCCAAGAGCTAATATTTCCCCAAGATTATCTTACCCAGCGCACGTGTGACACCTGTTCAAGGGTTTCTTTTTCTATCCCGGAACTTGGCCGTGCTCCATACGTGGCTTCTTCCATGCATGTGGCATGCATCCCACACTCTACAGTCATGTGGCAAGCTCCTATCCTGTGCTGAGCATGGTTCCAGGATTTGGGGACACGGCACCCAAGAAGGTAGACTAGATCCCCACCACTGTGGAGCTAACATTCTGGATGGAAGAGACAAGTGATAGACAAGCAAGCAAATGTATAAACAGAAATGTTCCTTTAATCACACACATGAAGTAAAGAAAGCAGAGATGTGATAGGTGCCCAGGGCAGTTCAGCTCTATCTCTGTCCCTGGGACTTTCAAACACCTTCAGAATCAATTTTCAGTCATTCAGCAAGTATTGAGCTCCTACCAGGTACAGGGAATTGCAAGAGTACTGGATTCATTCACACCTCATCACAGGCTGTCCCCTGCATGCTCCCCGCTGTGACAGGCCACCATTGGCTCAGCAAGTCTTCTCCAAGACCTGAGCATTTTCCTAAATGTAACCTTCTCCCTAGAGCTCCAGTCTAACCCTAATTTTCTGGATTCTGCCCCTTAAATATTTTTGCAAATACAATCATTGCTTTTCTTTCTCTACCAACATATGCTCAATGCAGACACACTCTCTCTCAACTATTGTCCTGACTCAGGACGTGACACTTGTCTCTCCTGCCATCCAGGGTCTCTTGGCCTCCGCATGAATTACAACTTGGGCTGGAGGATCCTTTGTTACGGTGGTATCCTGTGCATTTTAGGAGGCAGTCTAAGGATCTACCCATGAGCTATCAGCAGCCACCCCCTTCTGTGATGAACAAAAATGTCCGCAGACACAGTCAGAACTCCCCTTGAGGACGAAATGGTGCCCAGTAAAGAGCCGCTGTGACACCCTTCCCAAGGCCCACGCATGTCTGGCTCACCTGCCTCCCTCAGGTGTTCTATGAAATGTCACAGTGTTGGGGAGGCCATGCGTGGCCTGTCCACCCACCTGCGTCCAGACGGGACTCACACCAGCATCTCTAGCTCACTGGTTTTACTCTCTAGCACTTACCACCACCTCTTACTTGTTTCGTATCTGTAGCTTTTCCCCATTAAAAAATGCAAGTCCCATTTGTGTCTCTGTTTCAGGTGGTTTATCCATGTAGTCTCCCCTTACTCGTGTCTGGGCTTCACTATGGAGTCCCACCTTCCTTTCCCCCATTCTAACTCACAGGTCCCAAAACGTCTCCAGGCACCGTTAGGTCAAGGAGACAAGAAAGCAATGACCTCTGCACGATTTCTCATCACTCCCACATCCACAGCTGATCATCTGAAGGCTGTCAGGTTGCCCTTCCTGCCGGGTCACCCCGTTTGACATTTTCAGCCTCCGCCGCTATCTCCCCCTCGATCCCAACACATGTCACTTCACTTTCTTACGACATCGTTTCCTCCTCACCCCGAATGTCTCCTTCTATCTTTCTGCCCATTCTTTATGCCTCTTTGCAAATACTGACCTTCTGATAAATCTCTTCTTGATTCTTATGCGGAGTTTGGCTCCTTTTCTCCAGTGTTCCCAGTGCATTTTTCACATACCACCAAAAAAAATTAAAATCTTACTGTGTTTTAGCTTCTGCAGAAGCTAAACAAGAAGTTGTTTTCTCAGTGGCCTCTAAGGTTCTTCAGTGAGGAAGTGTCACTTTACATCCTGGACACCACTCTGTACATGCTTGTTGAGTAAGTGAAAGAGTCCTACTTTGTGGATTAGCTTGCCTCCTGTGTTTCTTTGACATTTTATATTATCCTAGAGCCCTGATTCTTAAACTGTGTGCTGAGATGCCCCCAGGGAGCCACAGGCAACACAGGGGAGCACAGGATACTTTGCACATTTGAGGGGAGCATAGCCACGCTCCACATCTGGGGACCATCTCCTGAGCTACAAGCTCCACGTAATTCAGTCTCAACATTACATCATGTTACTCTTCATGTGATGATGTCATACCTCAGTAAAGCCAGACTTGGGGCTATTGTGAAGATAAAACAGTTATACAGGAACATCAACGTCGACGGGAAAGGAGGGTATTGCACTCAGTCCAGTCCAAGATCAAACAGGTTTCTCAGTGGCCAACAGGTGCACACGTCCCTCAGTAAGGACTGTGCTTAAGGAAGAGCGAAGTCCATATTTTTGCTTCCAATATATCCACCTTCTTTTTCAAATGACAACTAAATTGTTAGGCTATAAATACTCACTAAGGTGTTTGAACCTGATTAATAAAATTTAAGTACCCATTTGAATTTAATAAATATATACTATTAGATATTTCTTTTGGCCTCAGCCTGCTGCGAAAAACACCATGCCGTCTAGAGTGCCATGAATAGAGAATGTTTGGGAAGACCTTCCTTAGAAAGAATTACTGGTTGGAGCCCTTACTTGCAAAGAGTAAAAACTGGTTCCTGCTGGTGTCCCTAAAATAAATGAACTTATTGACAGCCTGTTGTGGAGTTCACATAACCAGTGAAATAGCTTTAAGCCCGGGCTTAGAGCTAAGCTTCCAGAAACAATGGCTCAAACCACACCTTCCAGAACACGTCAGGAAAGCAGCTCCCATGGGGCTTCTCTTTGCTGGAAATTTGACTTTGCCTCTGCAGAGAGAGATAGAGACAGAGACAGAGAGAGGCAGAGAGACATTGAAGAAGGGGTAGGGACAGAGAGAGACTGCCTCCCATCCCTGCTCCCAGGTCACACCCCAGGCGGCCACACCTGGTCGGCAGAGACAGAACCCTGCATGCACCTTCTTGTCTACAGTGGAAGTGGAAAGGGCGATTCCGCCTTTGAGCCCCTCCAGATGCGTGTCGCTGTTAGAGAACGAAGTTCTGGATCATTCTGTTTCCAGAGAGGAAGGTCTCGGGAAAGACGAAATTCAAAATGTTTCAAGAGCTGTCTTCAGATACGTGAGCCACTCTGAAGAGGAGGGGAGTTGGGCTTGTTTTCTGGGGCCACATAGACACAAAACAGACACAGGACACAGGCTGGAGTTCAGGGCAAGGAGGAGCCCCCAGGGCCAGGCTGTCTGAGGCTCCCGTCCCTGCACAGGTGCAAGTGCAGCCCAGGTGACCGGGGAGCGCAGGACAGCGGCTCTGGACAGGGCTCCCCGGCCCCCCAGGCAGCTGGCCGCTGGGACCTGAGAGCATAATCGTGCGGACACATAACCTGCGTGCAAAGTGGTCTTGATACTTACAGCTACATTAGTGAGGGGGTTTCCAAAACTGTACACTGTCAGGTTTACACTGCCCTGCATCTGCTGACACATTCTCATCAGTGACAAACCAAGCGTAATTTTTAATGAGGCTTCTCTCTCACGGTAAAGTATCTTCTCACCAAAAAATTAGAAGTGAGAGAAGAAAACGTGTCGGGTACTACTCACACCATGTGACCCAACAGAGGTTGCTTTTTGGGTTATTTCCCTCTGGATTTTTTTCTCTAATTTTATTTTCAGAGTTGTGACCTCATTTTACTGCTTTTCTCGTGTGTCCTGTTGTAATGAGCAAACCGCGTAGATTGTTATAAACACATGGAGTGTCTTACTTTCTTTAGAAAATGCACCCCAGATTATCATAAAGCTATTAGTGTTTAAAAGCATATCAACATATTGAATTAAATTCTTACTATATTAAAATACATATTTTTAAAAATTTAGTGTGTGTGTGTGTGTCTGTGTGTGTGTGTGTGTGAGAGAGAGAGAGAGAAAGAGAGAGTGCATGAGCAGGGGGAGGGCAGAGAGAGAGGGAGAGAGAGAATCCCAAGCAGGCTTCATGCTGTCAGCACGGAGCCTGATGTGGGGCTCAAACTCACAAACTGAGAGACCACGGCCTGAGCCAAAATCAAGAGTCAGAGAGGCTTAACTGAGTGGGCCACTCAGGTGCCCCCATTAACATGAACATCTTAAAGGACTTTGATATACACTACAAAATTAAATTAAAGATATTTGTCCAAAAAAAAGATATTTGTCAACTAGAAGAAGAACAGAATTTGATTTTTAATGCTATTAAATAACATGGAGAGAAATGCACAGTGAATGAGTCCACATATTTGTGTAGATGAAAAAAAATGATGGAATTCTTGAAAGACGTCAAAAGAGGGAGTTTTACAACAATAGGCTCTCGTTTCTGGGGGCTGGAGGAGGGGTGGATGCTGAAGCCCTTCAAGGAAGATGACTCTTGAGGAAGAGGTGTCCGTGTCCACGGGAGACCAGCATTGTGCAGGCAAGGATTCTTGCTAATCCATGCTCAACAGAATAACAAACCAAATAAGAATGGACTTCCAGTGGGCTGGGAATAAGAACATATTTTTAAAGAAAGAAGGGCCCTAGCATGGATCCATTTAAATCCACTGCTCTGGGGGGAGTTGGGTTGGAGTGAGCTGAAAGATAAGGAGACACCTGAAAAGAGGACTGAGCTAAGACTCCTAACCAGAGCTTGGAGAAGCTCGTTGGCAGCAGAGAATGTGAATCCTGATCATTCCTGATGGACGCTGTCACCAGCTGTTGAGAGCATGCCGTCTGTGGATGCCAGGAACAGAGGAGAATGAGCTGAAAACTTGCCTCCAGGCTGTGGATTCATCCCAGTCTGGAAGCGTTCAGCAAGTGCATTAAGTTTTCTGTGTCTGGCCGCGTCTGAAGAAACATCCTGCTACATATACACATCGGGCATACCACACCTTCTGATCACCCACCCCCGGTTTTGCACAGTGTCATGCTCCAGTGGGGATGCTCCCCAGGCGAGTGTGGGACACCTTGTTCATCCTACCTAAGGCCATGTTCGTGTTGCTCTGGGTGGACAACCCATCAGTCTGTCAGGCAGGTTTCTGCCCTTTGCCATGAATGCTTCCATACTAGGGCATCACTGACGCCCAGAGAAGGCAAGCATTTCTTGTCGTCGACATATTTCAGTTGTCCTCGGTGCATTGTCTATTTATCTACCACGAATCAGAATGTGGCCGCCCCAACCCAATCACGTTGGCCATTGCCCAAAGCAACACCCATTACCCTGACCAACTCTATTGTATACAACTCAGTTGTATAGATTTTTGTTGAGCTAGAAGACATTCTACATTATTGCAGTGATGCACTGGGTTATCAAGACTCTGCCGGTTTCTCTTTTTAAGGAGTAGATTCACCTACACCTGTAGCTAGTTGTTTAGCGTTGAGCCTCACTCACTACAGGGTCTGTTGGAAAGAGTACAAACATCCCAATCTGGAGACCTAGGTCTGGACAGAGAGTCAGATGCCTCCTGGTGATACGACCTTAAAATACCTCTACGTCTGTCTCTGTGTTGGTTTTCTGTCTGGAAAACAAACAAACAAACAGTATTTCCTAAGGTTTCCTCTCATTAGACAGTGAGAATTTTTAAAATTCCTTAATTTTTTAATTACCTTAGAATTTTTAAATACCTTAGAATACTTAGGTATTATCACATTTTCTATTCAAACCTTTTGACAGCTTCAGTCTCGTGTATCTGTTACAATTTTTAATTTTCCTTTCATTCCTTGCTATTCTTTTCAGCCTTATTACTACTTATTTTTTTATGTTTATTTATTTTTGAAAGAGAGAGATAGAGAGAACACAAGCAGGGGAGGGGCAGAGAGAGAGGGAGACACAGGATATGAAGCAGGCTCCAGGCTCCTAGCTGTCAGCACGGAGCCTAACACAGGGCTCGAACTCATGAACCATAGGATCATGACCTGAGCGGAGGTCAGATGCTTAACGGACAGAGCCACCCAGGCGCCCCGCTACTTAATTTTTAAGACTGTGTAACATGTTCCTAGTGTTTTTTCTCTTACTAGTTGCTGAATTATAAATAACAAATAAATTGATACCCGCCTTATCTTCCAAAGCAAGCATTTGCAAAAATGTAAAATAAGTACTGTATGTGAAAATATTTTGGAATTGTACGGCACATTATATATACAGCTATATATAATGCATATACATTATGTATGCATAACACATGGACATATGTATGCGCACGCGTGGGCACATACTGAGAGCAAGAGAGAGGGAGGAGAGCTTACCAATGAGCGTCCAAAGGCAACAACAAAGAAACACTGTCATTCTTTTTCTGTTCTGGGCGTGAGCTCGCATCCTTCCTGTCTAACTCTCCATCCCAGCAAACACAGGTGGCACAAGAAATAAGGCCAATGGAGCTGTGTCGGCAGGAGTCGGCGTTCATGGCCAGGGGAGCATGGAAAGGGTTGCTTACACGGCTGACCACCAGCATAGCTGTTTCCTCTGCCTGCCACCCATTCCTCAGTGTCATTAGATAAGCTATTAAATAAAGCAGCCGGGCACCTCTGAACAGCAGAGCCATTTGCCTTAATGTCTCAAGTAGTTTGGCCTCCTATACGGCAGATCCGTGAATACAAACAAATCAGGGTTTTTGGGACCCCGGGGGGCTCAGTCGGTCGAGCGTCCAACTCTGGGTTTCAGCTCAAGTCGTGATCTCATGGTTTGTGAGTTCCAGCCCCGCTCTGGGCTCTGCCCTGAGAGTGTGGAGCCTGCTTGGGATTCTCTGTCTCTCCCTCTCTCTCTTCCCCTCCCTTGCTCGCGCACGCGCTCTCTCTCTCAAAACAAATAAATAAAATTTAAAAAAAGAGAAATCAGGATTTATTTGTGAGATGCTTTCTAAATGGCCTTTTCTGACCTTTATTTTTTTGGTTAGGGGCACACTGGGGTTGTGCCTGTCGGATTACTTTAATTTTCTGCTGCTTGGTATTTTGTGTTCAGGTGCTTCATGGCCTTCATTAAAGGAATGCTTTAAAAAGTAAGCATCTCAAACTGTCCCTCTCATCTGGCTCCACAACTGGGGAGAGGGGGCTCAGCCACACCACAGCACTCACATGCACACACGCATGCACACACGTGCACACTCACACGTGCACACATGTGTGCACACTCACACGTACACACACCACAGAGATGGAGAGGTCGGTTCATCTTTCTTTCCATTCATTTTATCCAAATATACTTGAGCCATAAGGGAGACTTCAACCTTGACCTTATCGTAGCATCCACGCCACTGGAATTTGCGCTTCACACATAATTTCTAATCTAAATTTAACACGTAACTTAAGGACAAAAAAAGGATATGTTCTATATCTGTTTTTCCACCTTCAACACACCCATTTTTTTTTTCAGCTTGGACATAGACCACTGTAAGGACTTTATTCTCTCAGCTGTTACACGCGTGTCCCAGGCGTCAGAATACTATATCCCAGTGGGGTTCCACTGTGGTGAGCCAGACAGAAGCTGGGCTCCCCCAAGAGCCCTCCCAGGTGAGGAGGGGACCGGAAGTCTCTAGATGCTGCCAGACGATGCTGAGAAGGTGGAGTTGGCCTGAGGAGCCTGCCCCGAGGAGAGCTAAGGCCGCAGCGGGGGGCCCCCCACACCTCCAGCCTAGGACCCCACGCACAGCACTGCGGGTCCCCGGGGGTCCTCTAGGACCTGCAAGAGTCAAGGAGGCTCATTCTCGTGGACTCAGAGCTGAGCTGAGCTGGAGAGAAAGAAGCAGGAGTTGACCAGCTGGGGCTGGTCAGTAGGGGTCCCGTCACCCGGGGGAACAAGTTCACAAGGGAACTTGTGAAAACCAGAAACCAGAGGACCCAGAGGCAGTGTGGACACAGACACCTTCCTTACCAGGCTCGAGTCAGTGCACCTCCCAGCGTCCCTTGGGGATGCCACCAGGGGAGAGGAGGGAACGTTTGTTCCAAACAGACCAACGTTTCAAGGAACGTTCAGAGAAAGCCAGACACCGTTCTAGGGGCACCGGGTGCCCAAGAGGCTGGTCGAACCCTACGGAGAACAGCAATTTGGTTACATTTCCCCCATATCCAAAAAAGTGAGAACTTGTGAAAAACACAGATTTGCTAGAAATACAGAGGTTGCTTTTTATTCCCGTGCACCTGTGGGTTCAGTGCTGGTAACTGTGACCAGCCCTCCCCTGCCCTCGCCTGCCCTCCCCTGCCCTCGCCTGCCCTCCCCTGCCCTCCCCTG